ACTATTAATTATTATTAATAGTACAATTACAGTACCTCATATTTGTGTTTCAGAGTCTGAAGGGTGGGCTCATAAGAGGAATAGTGCTTCTTCAGTCTAAGACACAAAACAGCATTGTTACAGTACCGCAAATTGCAAACTTATCAGAAAAATTAAAAGTGACTGGCTTGAGATATTTTCATAACTCATGTTAGCAGTGCAACAAAGCTGTCTGACTTATGCCTAAGTGCAGTTGTTACAACATTTACGAGGCAGCCAAAATCACAGCCTAGCATTGTGCTTTTAAGTGGTTGGATCTAATTGTCTCACAGAGTTTAAAATAACCACAAAAGCATAGTTCAAATCAAAGCAATCAATCAACAGAATACCTGCAATTGATTAACTTTAAGTTAAAGAAAATTCTTTGTTTTTCTTTCCATTATTTTGTTTTCTTTCAAAGCTTTCTACCAAGATGTCATTGTTTTGGTAAATTGAAAGTAACAAAAGTTGCTTTGAATGTTTTTATTCCTTTAATATTTTTCTTGGGGAATTAGTGCAGAGCTGACAAATAGCAATCCACCTGCATGTGTCTCACGTCTGACTGCAACGTTCAGCAATATACATACAAGCTACTTTTATGTCGGTTTAAACAAGTACATGTAATTAGGTACCTTTTAATGTCAGTAATAAGCCTGTTCTTCTCTTGAACAACTCTCTTGTGGTGCATGCGATGAAAATCTCTTTCTTTTTTCAACCTGACAAATGTCTGCTTTGCCTTTCTGCCAAGTAAAAAGAGGGGTTAGGAAATAAGTAGGAAAATTTTCTTACACAAACCTGTCTGATAATTTTCAACAAAGAGAGTGCCCTGTTGAACAACATTTATTTAGGAAGCTGGGGGGGAGTTTACTTACTCAGCAGCTTCCTTGAATTTATTTACTTCTTGACGGAGAGTAGCCACCATGTCATCCAACTGCTGGTTTCTACAAAAATAAATACCGCAAAAATTTTTTGGTTATGTTATTATTGTGTATATGTCATTTGTAACAACTTCACTATATTGCACAGTACATGCATCTCATTTGTTAAAGATTCAAAGGAGAAGTACTGTACAGCCATATGCTTTAAAATTGAGTCTTGATGAAAGAGCTCTGATGTATGAATTAATCCTAAATTGATTGATTTATAAATTTTGCATGCTGCAAACAAACGGTAAATTTTAGAACATATGATATTAAAGGGTGGACTGATCAGAGGACATTAACATGAAACCTTTACCCACTAACATCAGCATGCAAATTCTCCATACCATTCTCAATACATCTGCAAAGGTGCTGACAGGGAGAATTTGTTTGACAATCAAAAGCTTCTTTAGTTAATGATCATTTCCTTTATTCATGTAACCTTATTGATTGATTCAGGGTTGATGTTATAAGGAGAAGTTAGATGTTAGTCACTCCTTGTGATCAAAGTATTTACACAAACTTACTTCACATAAATGTCTGGTACGACTCTCACATCCTCTTCATTAAGTAATCCTTTTTGCAACAACTCATACCTAAAAGTGTCCCAACCAAAGATTTAAATAACCAAACATATTTTTGAAAAGAGGTAATAGTCAAAAACCAATTTTAAACTAAGATTACTGACAAATCTGTCCTTGTACAAATATTCAGCTCACCACTCAGTGTCACAACCAAAGATTTACATACCCAAGCATATTTTTGAAAAGAAGCAATTACAAAAAACCAATTTTAAACTAAGATTACTAATGAATCTATCCTTGTATAAATATTCAGCTTACCACTCAATGTCTCTACCCACAATTTACATTCCCAAGCATATTTTTTAAAAAAGTCAAAAATTAAAAACTAATTTTAAACTAAGAATTTACTGATGAATCTGTCCTTGTATAAATATTCAGCTTACCACTCAGTGTCACATCTGAAGCTTTAAATTCCCAAGCGCATTTTAAAAAGGAAGCAATTAATCAAAAACCAATTCTAAACTAAGATTACTGATTAATCTGTCCTTGTATAAAAATTCAGCTTACCACTCAGTCTGAAAACAATCTAGTGTTCTTGTCATTCCCATTTTAACAAGAAAATTCCTCACAAAATCTTCCACAATCTCTGGTCTCTGGTAATAAGCCAAAAAAATAAGAATTAATTGTACAATGAAACCAGTATTTGCCCTCTCTAAAACAGGAAAGTTCTAGTAATTAGTTAACATAAATTAATGCTACTTACTGTTGTAACTGTTGCTTTCACTGGCTCAGTCTTTTGCTGTCGATTAAATCATATACAAGAGTTATGTTGTTTTTCATTCAGTTACAAAACTTTAGCATGTGTACATGTACTTTCATGCCTGCACATTTGCTGAATATATATCTTTACAGGATACAAGAAAACATCTTTTCCCTTTAACTCATGGTTATTCTATCTTTTGTGCACTGTCTTAAAAATTATCTCATGAGAGATTTTTTTTTTACATGCACCAACACTGGGCAATCCCATTTAACAACTCATAATTTACAAGTAACTTACAACATACCGCTAACAATTCATCACTAGTCTTTTCTTGCACTGTTGTAAAAGCTGTTTCCAAATCCTCATCTCCATCTGTTCAGAGAAGCAAAGTCACCAGAACAGGAAAATTCAATACCAATACTGTATACTCATAAACAAATACAGTGGAAGGAGACTATTATAGGATATGTACACCTGTAAAAATGCAATAGGCTACACAGATCTCTTACATTATTGACAATTGATTATTGACACAGATCTCTTACATTATTGACAAGCCTAATTTCTAATATATTATATTCAAGTAAATGTGTTTTTCTGGCCTCAAATCTCCCCTTAAAAAAACAAGATCAAGAACTTAAATCTTTGCTGAATCCATATAAATCAATAATGACTTATGTCTTCCATTATGAAAGAGCCCCATACAGCTACTTGTACATGTGTGGCTTTATGTCTGTGACAAAAATATAGCTTAATGGGGTTTTAAAACTTGTGAGAAAATTCCATGTGGTAGACTGAGAATTCTCCCAGGTCCCCTGTGGGATGTACACCCTAACAGATATTAATTAGACTTTTCAAGTTTTTATTTTCAAGAAATGATCTCCAGTAAGTACTTGAAGCAGGTGATCACTGAGAACAAATAAAGTAAACTTTTCATGCTTACCTATAACAGAATACTCATCTTCTAAGGGAACCTAGAGCAATACAAAGTAAGACAATTCATTTTAAAAAAATGCAACAACAAAATATGAAATGCAAGGGGAGACAAAAAAATATTTTCACTTTATTTGGGGTAACAGGTGAAACATTGATCTTCCCAGGATAACAGCAAAATATTTAAGTCACTGTAGAAAAAGAAGTTTTAAAAAATTATGGCCTCAATGGGATTTGAACCCATACATATGTTTCCAAGAGACTAGTTGGGGTATTATCAATGGAAAAAGGGGGTGGTTTTCTGAGGAAACTGTGGCACTGCTTAGTGGGAGAGTATAACAGGGCAATCAAGTATTATCATCTGAGTTGATGATGTAAATTGGCCACCATAAAGAGTTTTAAGGCTGGCATTATTTCATTCTGACACAGGGCTAGCACTCGAAGCAACAGCTTTGAAACTCTTTATGGTGGCCAATCTGTGTTCTTAACTCAATTGATAATACTAAATTACCCCATTATACCATCAGCAGGGCCAGGGAGCCACAAGTTAGCAGCAAAGCAAGTACAAATGGGTTCTTTGCTCCCAACAAAGGAATCCGACTCCTTATTTGACTTGCTTCCAACAAGTGGATCTGTAGCTTATTTGTTCAAGGCATTCAACAAGGCACATGTTTGCATCCCATCAAAGTTCCAAATTTCAGACTTCTTTCTCACCAATGACTCTAATTTCAGTTGACCTCTGAGGTTCAATTTGTCAATAATAAGCACAGTTAAGATCAGTACTCAGAGATTAAGATCTCTGCTGTAAAAGAATATATCAACCACATCATTTGAAACAACTGGAAAAGAAGACCCGACAGGTTTGAAAAATTGTGAACCACGGCAAAAACTTTAAACCACAAGCGTTACCTCTTCATAAGCAAACTCGTCATCACTGTCTTCCGCTACTGTCACCTCTGATTAAAACGTTAAAGATAAAAATATTGCAAGAATTGTCTCATTATTTCCAAATTCAATACAAGTTACTAGGTAAAATTAAACGTTTAAGATTACAACCACAAGAACTACCGATAGTTTCAGTGTTTTCCAACTGTAATACCCTGTCCAAACTACAAATGAAAGCTGAGCCAATTTACTTGACTGCTTTGACAGTAGCAAGGACCATTATAAGGCAAATTACTCAAAAGTTGTTTCAGTGCAGTATGAACTCAGCCTGATAACAGTTCACTAGTGTTTGAGCTCAACACACATCATCACCTAGACGTTGAAAGTTTACGACAATTAAAATTGACATTATCGGCGTATTGCGTCACGTCAATTGCGAACACACTTCACTTCACCACACATTCGAGTCTTCATCATAATTCTAGCGGGGGAAATAGTGGAGGAGAGTACAAAGGCACACAAAAAGGATACGTTCAAGATAGAAGACTCCTTGTTCGTCCGCCATTTTTGTTTCTTGTCGTTGCTAAGGGTGACGTCGATACACCATCAACTGACCAGCGGTTCTGTTATCGATCATGCACTATCTCATGTCAGGGTCACTAAGCGAAACCTAAGGTTAAAGAGAAAGGGGCGCCCACTACTGAGTGGAAATAGCATACTTGTGTGGAAGTAGCATAAAAAGTTGCGTTCGCACAGAAATATAAAAAAGGCGACGAAAAGTGTGAAAAATTATGCGACTGTGTAATACCGTCCGACCTTTTCATTTATCTTTTTTTTTTCCCGTTGAAAATATTGTGCTCCGTCGTTTTTGCTTCCGTACTTGCTATCCATTTCCCCATGCTGTTAGCTAGAGGCTCTCCCATAAATTTCCCATAAAAGCTACTTATAATTACACCATTTATAGTCGTACATTCAAATAAATTTTATTGAAAAAAGTATAGAGTTTTCCATGCGCTTCAGCACTAATTAACGCGCATTACACCTAATACCTTTCAACACTACATGTATTTGCGTTGCACCAATGTTTATGGCCAACTAAACCATTTTAATACAAAGAAGAGTTGTGATGTTTCCATATGGTTCGAAACTCTTTTTAACGTATTTTTATAAATTGCGTAATAGACTTTCACACTATTTAAATTTGTCAGTGAAGTTTTTCGCGGGTTTTTAGACTAGAAAATATCTATTTTTAAATGTTAATGCCTTACATTATTACATTCCAAGCTCAAAAATTAAATTAGGCGAATAGTACTGAAAATTTTGGGGCTACAAATAAATGGAAAAGCATCCGTATAATTCTAATTACAGTCACTCGCTGTGCGTCTGTTTAACTTACAGATGACAGATGACGTCATGATGCGGTAACTGAGTTTGTCATTGATGTTCTGACCACATATTGACGTCTTCTTTGATCTTTTACTGTACAGACCCACGGCAACATGGAATCTATTTACATCATACAATGATAAAATAACATATGTTTGTAACGATGACGTCATCTTTGCGTCAATCCTCCAATAGATTAATAGTAAAAAGCAATCAAAACGAGTGTATAATTCAGCTTACTATGGAAAAGTCAATGAAAGCCCTTTATTACACACATGAAGTTATAAACATAGCTTCCGCTGGTGAGAAAGAAGTCCATTTCCTAATTATCAGTCACTCTCATAACGAGGATAGTATTCTTAGCGAAAGCAAAATCTTTCAGCTAAGTCTCTTCGATTTAAACACTGGTGGCACAATGCTTGGCACAGAAAACGATACGTAGCATTCGAAGCGTTTTTTTCCATCCACAAACGTAACATTTGATGAGCCTTGTCAAAATAATCACGTCTCCTTTGATCAATGTTATCAAGGTCTTCCACGCGAATACCCAGCAGGAGTCCAAGCCTCCTCCAGTCTTCTGAGATGGAGTTCGACAGTCCCATGTGATCATCTTTACTTAGAATGCCTTCTTTTAAAATTTTCCCTAAGAGTATTGAAAGGAATGTCATAAAAGAGCGCGGTGGAAGAATGAAAAAACTAGAATTTTATTAGAGAATATTAACATACCTGCGAGAGACACTTCCT